TTTAGTAGATCCTAGATCGTAAAGGAGCACGAGTAAATCAACATCCTCTCCAACCATGATGACGTGGTCATTGGAGGGATTTTTCTGCAGAGCGCTGTCTGAATCTTCTTCTACTGTTTTGAGACGAACCTCGTTTTTGTCATTAGAGAGCACCTTCTCTTGGGGGACTGTAATAATGGATGATGCGTTAAACAGAGTTTCCGCTGATGCTGCATTATACCGTCGTGATCCTCAGGATACTCATCAAAAACTAGACCTACATTTCTCCCAAATTGGTTAAATATATAGCTTAGGTAGCTTGCTGTACCTTTACCTCTTCGTCAAAAAATTGAACCATTAGATATAGAGCGAGCTCGTAAGTGATGTTGGCCTTCAACGGTAGGAAAATGGTGAGTGGCTCGACATCGACTCCCTTCTTATGGTCCTGAGGGAGGCGGTAGGTGTTGCCAAGGAGAGGCTTTTTTTCCTTGGGAAAGTAGCAGTCCCAAAAGTTCTCCCGATAATTCGGTTCACCCGTGGCAGTTTATGTGGGGGCTACCCACAGTGCCACTACTGATGGATACGAGTTTATCTATCGATGAGAACGGTGGATGGTTATTGAACTAGGCATTCCCAACGGGAGTACGCAACGAAGAACCGTTACGATCCTCAAAGTCACTTGCCAATCGACTACCATTTCTGGACGCGTTAGCTCGTTGACTAATAACATTGGTATCTACCTACAATTTAATCAACTTTCGTCGAAACATGCATAGTTTAGGAGATATAGAGTAAAAAAAAGTCCCAAATTTTCCCGGTTTTTCGTATGCTACATTTCCGCAACTTGTAGAAAGTTCCAAACTTGGGTATACACTATCCTATTCGTTATGTAATGGTGCAGTTTTTTGTTGAATTGCCAAGGTAGTTTCGTTCCATGTTAAGATGACGTTCGTGTTGGAGATTTGGAGCTCTTCTAGAGTGGCACCACCTTTTTCATCAGTAGTGGACTAACCATTCATCTTCATGACCAATCTCATTCCCATATTTTTAACTTGCTAATTACCTAACTGCGTTTGTTGCGATACTCAATTTAAATGTAATCAGTGGCTAGTTAATTAGGGTTGACCTTCGTCCGTGCTTTAATTTAAATTTCGTCAATACTTTGCACTTTAAATAATATTACCAGGTGCGATATGAAATTCCGTCAACGTTGTCGATGCACGTTATCTAAGATAGTAGTACAATGTGGAAACCCGGATAACTGTCAGATGGAAAACGACTTGGTGACTGAACCATTTAATTCTGGTAGTTGCAGTCACTATCAACAAAGACAGGGAAAGGGACAAGCGTTTCCACATTAAACTTTGTTGATCCCTGTTTTCCATAGGGTCTGGTAATGGTAAATCTCAAGTGTTTTTTGTAATACCTCCATGCTGTCAAGGATACCCGTTGTTATTTACCTAATTTTTACTTAATGATTTGTCGTATCTTAAGATAAGAACCAAAGTCACTTTAGATGATGACATGAAGCGAAAGCAATTCAGATTAGTGAATGAACTATGCCTTAAATATAATATAAAGCACTCCCAGTATCCTAGAAAAGGTGGCAAGGTTTTAATTGTTGCAGTTGGACGAGCTTTTTATTTATAATAGTGACTGATAAGTCGGTAATTCCCTATCCCCAGAAGTATGTATATCTTCTCTACAGACAATAAACGACCACTCTCAATAATCCAAACTTAAATTATAAACAAATAATAACAGCGATAAAAACTTACTCCTTTAATGTATCCATTTCTCGATGCATATTACGATTTATAAAATCCCAATGTTTGAGTGTTACCTTAAATTACCCCCATTAATAACGCACAACATACATTAGACGCGCACTACACACTAGTACAACAAACATTAAATAAATGAAAGGTTTTATGCGAGTGCCTTCAATTTGAAATCTATAATTTATCGTATACGTTCATAAACATTTAATCTATCTTGGAATGCTGATAATAGATATCTTGAAGTTTAAAATTTAATTATCTACGTCAGATGTGTATATAAGGCATTATTTTAACGAAATAATAGAAATTAATGAAGGCGAACATAAAAATTCTGCCAATTATCATTTTATCAGCAATAAAAGTTATAGTGTACTTCCTTAATTAAAGGATTAAGGCCTATTTCTCTGATTAGCAAAAAGTGTAAGGATGGGTTCTCGATAAAACAAAATCAATTTTCAGTTTTTCCCGTCATCTTAAATTGAAATTTCAAAAATCGCCATTATTAACATTGGAAATATCAACAATTTTTTTCAAAAATCGATATTGGACTTACTTGCTTGTTGGGTCGGCTTGATTATCACCTGGATTCATTTTTTACAAACAATTATTTGAGAAAGTCCGGCAGGATAACACTACGTTCACCAGAAGTCACAACCACAACGTCGTGTCTTACTCAACCAAAGGTGTGATGCTGTATGTATATTATACTTATCAAAGGCCTTCGAAATAGTCAACCGTGCGAAATTATCGTGCTGAAATTTTTGATACTGGCATTGATAGGCCCGGCCAACGCAGTTGCAAGCAGAAGGTATCGTTTCGCCAAAGCACGGCCCATGTCTAAGTTTACAAAAAAACCTGTCGATGTTTTTCCAGGAAGAATGGGAAAATTAGCACTTTCACTCTATACATCGTAACACAAATCTGATGGAGAGACTGGTCTGTTAAAATCCTCGCTTACGTTTCTTTATTTACTTAAAATTGACTACAATTAGTTTACTTTATAATAAAAAATGCCTTATCAAAATGAATACCATGTGTAATAAACCTTCAATTTCCCAGAGGCTTCTAATTTACGGTTTTGGGATGAGCTTTCAATCTGGACTTGAGGATGCTTTTAAAAAATTTAATGTTAATGTTGGGACAGATCACAGAAAGCAAGAAAGAAGGAACTGTACAAAAATAATATCGAAACCTACAACCCAAGCAAACTAGGGTTTATGTTTCTCTCCAAGGGCTGTTTTCACACTTTTTTTCTTTTATCAAATGGTTGGCTATTTGCACGTTATGGTCGTTACTTTGTCCGCCCACATGAGCCTTCACATGTCCACATATTTCGTTAGCTATACTTCAGTCCTCATGTATCAAGGCTCTAAAGAAAAAATTAGTTGACTAAAACCTGCATCAAATTTTACACTCTTCAGATTGTTAGAACTAGTAGTGTCTATAGGTTTATGATTGTAGTTCTATTGTCTGACCATTTAGGACTGCAAAAGCGTAATTTTTCCATTGTAGTGTGATTTTAGAAAACTATCTGGACTGCAGTGGAGGAGCGTATAAACGATTTGGTTTTCTTGTCCAATTTTAGGTCAACAGTTAAGCAAAGAAAGGCGACGTGATCAGTCCGGTAAAATACCGATTCTCAATTCTCGGAAAAAAAAAAGAATACAATTTTCCAGTTTCCCACATGCAAACTATTTACGTATAGCTACTAATTTTCGAGTACAGAACACAGAATTAATTAGGAAGAACAAGGCTTACCTTACACGTATTTTGTTTAGTAAATAAACAATACAAAATAATTGCTATCAAATGTGTATATCTAATTACGCAGCATATTTGCTTATATGGAAATTTTGAGTCAATAGGTAAACAGGTAATTACCCCTTACATTTTTATGGGAATATCTACCTCACAGGCCCAAATGTGTATCGGTCAAAAATGAAACCGAAAAAAAATAATAATTCGAAGGTGTCAAAATATGATCCCAATTTATTGCTTGACACAATAAATAAAGAAGCGATGCGTGAAAAATAAACATAAAGAGAAAATACACAAAATGCTTCCGTGCGGAAAAATTACCTAAGTTAAGATACGCATTTCATTTTGATGAATGAATGGGATCTTATGAAAATAAACGTTAAAGAATCATATGATTATGTAGCGAATATTCCAGAAATCTCGAATGACATTGAGACACTATGAATGATTAGTCATCGGCGATAAAGAGTGAAGGCGGATTTGACGCAATCCTTCCGGGAAAAATGACGTGTTTATTCTAGAACATTCCGAATCGTTTTACTAAAAACATTTTTCGTTTACTATAAGCAAATTGTAGTGTATTTCAATCAGTTCTAACATGCATTCTTGTTATGTTTTAAATTGTGAGTGATAAATTGTATTTACTGTTATAAATTAATCTATTTTCAGACTGTTGTAAATTTATTCTCTTCCCGGAGACAGATTCTGGAAACCAATACATCTTGGTGGCCATAGTCTATGTCAGCAAATGGACAGAAGTATATGCACTACCAAATCAAGAAGCGACAACCGTGGCAAACGTTCCGATAAAAGAACTTTTTATCAGATATGGAGTACCCCTAGAACTACAGTCTGACCAGGGACGAAATTTTGAGTCGTCGCTGTTCCAAAAGCCTGTGTCAACTATTGGGAATAGGGAAACTATTACTATAAATGCGAACAATATCATTCTTTTTTTAACGCGCGGAAATTAATCATCGTAATATTCTAAAGGAGAATGGACTAAAATTAAAATTACATGACTCGTGGCCTGTCTGCAGTGGTCGATTTGTGAGCAGATATTGACGCTTACTATCGGAATACTTGGCAACGGGCATGGTCAAACGATTCTCGTCTTTATGGAATTGAGCAGTAGATTTATTCACGTAATTTGATTTGCGTCTTCTAATTATCGTGTTGATTTAATTGATTAAATTTAAAAATAGGAAAATTACTAGAGCGGCAAACAAAAACGCAAAAAAAAACGAATTTTTATTTATATTTATTATCAATCCTTAAATGTGATTCAAATGCTAAAAAGTAGCATTGTAAATATTCTTCCGTGGGGGTGTCGCAAGGAAAACCTAGTTATGTCCTATGTGTACAGATTGCTTTATTAACGTACCGAAAACAAACGTAATTTTAAAAATCGCAACATGTAGCAAAACGCATGCGCATTTTTACGTCGGAAGTGCATCCTAATTCTCTATAACACACCGTACGCCACTGCACGCATTTTCTTTTTAATGTAAACAATAACATAACATAACCTCAAACGCAGAAATGAAATTTGGTATTCCACTTTCCTGCCCACTTTTAATATTAGCAGTATTAGTATTATTCGCTATAATTAGCGAAACTAATGGTAAAGATCAGCCGAAATTTAAACTAAAAATCGGTATAAAGAAGCGAGTAGAAAACTGTGTTTCAAAATCGAAGAAGGGAGATTTGTTACATGTTCACTACAAAGTAAGATTAGGTATACTAAGCGTTTAATCTAATTTGATCTTTTATAGGGCAACCTTGAAAACGGGGATGAGTTTGACAGCAGTTATACCCGGGGACAGCCGTTAACGTTTACGCTCGGTTCTGGTCAGGTGATCAAAGGATGGGATCAGGGTTTGGTTGGGTGAGTTGCATTGCGTTATTCTTACGCACTTATACTTATAATCTACCTACAGAATGTGTGTGGGAGAGCAAAGGAAGTTGGTGATACCTTCCGAGTTGGGCTATGGTAAAAAAGGGGCACCTCCTAAAATACCTGCGGATGCAACCTTGACATTTCATGTTGAATTAGTCAAGATCGAGCAGAGGGATGAGTTGTAGTTGTAATTTCGTATGTGCTGCACACACTTACCCTTGTAATGTCAGTTAAGCCATTCCCTGTAAAAGTGTAAATCATTCACACTTTTGTAAAATTTACTTTTGGAATCATGTAATAACACTTATGTAAACTGTATGTTTCAACCAATGAGCAACAAAGAAACGTATACTTTAGAATAACAAAAATATCAAGAGGTTTTATTTAATGGTGCTTTGAGTTTTATTTTTGATCTTAGTAGATACCTAAACTGATAATCAGGTATTGCGTGAAAGCACATATTTTGTAGTTTTTGATGTTTGTATGAGGCTGTGTTACGTCAATGGCCACAAGCCTTCCGTTTCAGTATTTTCAATGTAAGTGAGTACGTACTTAATATTTAGTAATACATATCACATTCAATTGAATGATTTCATTTGTATTACTACACATACCATCATAATTGTAATAAAGTTTTAAACTGACAAATCCGTGTTCGCTGTTGTCTATAAATTGCCATTTGCTGGCTTAATAATGCAATAGCAATAGAGGTTTTAGACCAATCAAAGGACTGGAGAATATATCTTTAGACTTGTGCGAAACTGGCTCATCGCAGGTCTCTATTTCTTTTATTGCTGTGGAATATTCTCAAATAATAAAAAAAGCTGGTTCCACTCAATCTACTAATAAGATAAATCACTGCTTAATCTGGTTGGTAATAAAACACAGAAATGTACTAAATTGTTGCTGTATTAAATCCAAAATAATTTCCTCTTTTTCTACATATACCAATACCTATACTCATTACTCATCCCCTTTTTATGATTAGGGGTCATATGCTATCAAAGAAAAATGTACCTATAGGAATTCGGCTAGATTGAAAAAATGAAATTCCATAAGTGATCATCTTATTTCACATCTTTACTTCCGCCTAGTAATGATTTTGGCATAACCATGTTGGCGCTAACAGAATTTTGTACCTAAATGGGAGAAGCTTCAAGAACGGTAAATTAATCAAAATTGCAACTCTTCAAACAAATAAATTCCCCCAGGTAAGTGTCCTAATAAAACACGGAGGACTTATATACTTAACAAATTGCCTCTACACCCTTAAAATATTTAAGCTATGGACTAGAAAAGAAAAAACATACTACAGTACCTTCTAATGTTCCTTATTACTTCGTTGTTGCGTCGACCTCCATAGACTTCGTCTATCTACTTGAAAGTCCCCCATGTCAAGGTTCGTATTGATGTTTCTTTAGGGGAAGTTGACAAACATACGCATGGCTTCTTTAGATTAATCAAATCCGTGCGGTATGCGATCACAGCTTTCCTCAGGGCAAGGATACCAACAGATAAGCGCGTAAGTGCGAAGAGGATCATGAAAATAAATGCGGCCTTGAAGCGCGTTTTGTTGGCATATCTCCTAGAATTCTGCAATCTGCCATTGGGCAAGTTACGCGTTTGTTATAACAATAATTGACGCTAAACTTGACGATGGTGTAAAATTGAAATCGATAGCTCTAAGAAAACAAATAAATAATATATCCGAAACCCGCGGCAAGGTAAATGTTTTATTATTAAAAGTAATATATATAAAAAAAGGAAATCTTCATCTAACGTATTAAAATAAACTAAAATTCGTGTCTACATCCTGTGATGTTTCAAAATGTATAGGTTTCAAATGTCACCTTCACGTTGGTTGAGCCAATGAACGTTGTACTCGGATAAAGCGTGTAATGTTCTTAGAGGTGTTCCCCAACAGACACCGCAAATGTTGACCTACCCTATACTTACAAATAGAAATAAGATAAATTTTACTATCAAACACATCTATGGATCAATTATAGACGAACATCAAAATGACTTTTTTGGTTGGGATTATAGAAAGGTAGGTATCCGATATATAAATTTTTTTAGTTTCTTTGTAGAAACTATGTGTTGGGGCTTTTGTGAGGGAAGGAAGAAATTTCTGAAATAGTTTTATTCCACTGTATAATAAGGACCGTTTTGACTGAAAGCATTTTTGTATTTGGGTATAATAATATGCTTGTTTTCTTTCGAGTATCGCTAGTTATATAGGTCTTCATGTTTATTATTTTAATGACTGTAAATTTCTATAAATGTAGCTTAAATAAAACAAAAGATTAAATCAGACTACCTTAATTATTGATAACGCTTAGAAAAAATGGAACACAAATACAAAGAGCACAAAAAAGCCGGTAGGTAAATATACAGCAAAAAGCTGGTCAAGCAGTGGTCGCAACGGACGCGACCATCTGGCTTCCTGTAATAATTCTCACAGAACAATTATGTGTATTTTTTTATGATAATTCTCCCCAAGACGGTTTCAACGACTTCGCAAAACTGTGTCTGGTATATCTCTAATTTACCGATGTGTGGGGATATGCCACCACAAGCGCCAAATTTAAATATCCGATCAAGATCAAAATCGGTACGTTACACAGTGGGGTATTTGAATTAATAAGCTGGCCAAAATGTCAATTTGCCAAAGTTAAAAAATTCACGCAAAATTAGTTCCGATGCAAAGCCAAGGTGTCCACGAACTATATATAGTTTTGTCGCTAAGGGTGCGACCGGTTTTTTGCCAGTGCCATTCCAAAGTTGGCCTTTGAATGAACATTTTTTCAAAATTCCAAGAGCACGTGTCAAGAGAATTTCAATTTTTTATTACTAATTTTATTACAAGTTTTCTGATGTTGTGTGCTATGGGCAATAATGTGCCAGGTAAGTCGTCATTATTTCTGAAGTTACATCGATCAAAATTCCGATATTTTTTTCTTATGTCATCAATCAAAGTTGCCTATTGTTTCTTAAAAAAGGGAATTGTTGGCACTAAAGTGGAGTCATTAAGTATATGTTCCGATCTCGATCCGGTTGATTGAAATATGTTTTAAGCAAGCTAACACTATGCTCTTTTAGTATTAAAAAAAAAACTTTGCGCGTTTTTGCGCCTTTTTAAGAAATCGGCACCCAAACTTTCATGTGATAATGGTGTGGATTATTCACATTGTCATGCTTTTAAATGCATGTGGTATACTTCAGCCTTAACATGTGTATTTTTGATCTTAAAGTAGAGGAACACAGTAGCAGCTGCAGCAGTTCCTCATATGAATCACAATATTCATCTGAATAATTATTATCATGGTAGTCCAAGACAGTGCATGTATTTTAGCAAAGTAGTCCAGTGGTTCCCAACCTTTTAGACACCACGACTTTTTAGGTTGAGTATTTTGCCGATTTGTAATTTTTTAAATCGTAAAGTTTAACTTATTAATAAACTTTATTACAGACCACATTAGATAAGATAAGTAATAAATTCAGTGAATTTTACAGTCAATTGTTTTATAAAAAGAATAATTGTTTTTAATTTTTCCCCTCGGACACATTCTGCGATCCCGTTGCGACCCACTGGTTGAGAACGACTGATCGTAACCTACAACATTTTCCCCATGAATTTGCTATTATCCCATATCTTATTTTTTTTGTCGATACTTCTCAATCATACCTTAGCACGGGCTGAATTTGGTACATATACAAGCAAGATATACAATTTTGCCATTTCCGGCCACCATCTTAGAGTTAAAATTTTTTTTTGTTATTTTCATTGTAAGAAAAAGATATTCTGCGACTTTTATTGAAATCAGTCAATATTTTGAATTTTGGCCAGCTAATTAATTCAAATACCCCACTGCGTTACCTGAATTCTACCTTTAAATCAATAAACACTGTCAAATATTCCAGGTAATGCTTTAATTATGATGCAAACGTTATAGGTTACAATTTTAACAATTCAACGTAATTTTCCTATTTTAAATCAATACACAATTTGAAAGAATATTCTAAATTGAATTATAATTTACCCCAAAGTTTTACACGCAACAATATAAACATTTTTCAGAGAAACGCAAACGCTATTCAGTTTATTAAAGTACGGCTATTGTAGCGTGCCGTACTTCAAGCTTTTATTTATGCGCCGTCATTGAATCGCGTTTGTTTGTTATATTGAGCAAGTAATTACGCCTTTACCTACATCGTTTTATTAAGTATTTACTTATTTATTCACAAGCAAGTTTATTATCCGTGTGATGTTATCCTGTATATGATTCGATTCAACTATTCCGTGAAGAAAGTACCTAATACAGTCCGATTATTCGCTGTATCTGTTACTCTTGTTTCTCGTGTGGACCTCGGTTCTTGCGCGTCTTGGCATATACGGGGAAGAGGGTCCTCTAACTATGTACAAGCCGTTGAGCAGGTATCTCATGCAGTCCGATTCTTCGCTGTATCTGGTTGCTCATTCACCTTGTATGGACCGCAGCTCTTGTGTCTTAGGTATACGAGGAGGAGCTCCTCTAATTAACCTATCTTCTATTACTTAATGCGGTTTGGGTTTTGAAATAATAGCCTTTAACATGAATGCCTACTACTGTCTACTACCATTGTTACATGTACCTACTTTTCGTGTTAAATTATGGTAGGCGAGTCTGGAGTAGAGCCACGCCATTTTGATATTTTTTATGTACCTACATACAATTTTTCCATTTTACTTGTTGGTTTATCTAAATTGAATCGTAGATGTTTTGTACTTGATTTGATTTATCGTGTTCTCCACTTTTGGAAAATTTCCAGCAAAATGAGGACCTGTAGAAGAATGCTTGACGAGGGGTGTACATGTACCTAACCGGGCCGACATGTAATTAACAACTTTAGAGACAGAGCCACATGATGAGTTGGCGAGGTCGCCATCCCCAAGCGTGGTAATCAGGGCCGGGTTTAAGCGTAAGCGGACCGCTTACGGCGCAGACAAGAAGGGGTGCAAAATTACTCAAATTAAATTACTGCCGAACCAGGGATGTAAAACACCGACGGCGTTTTCTATTTTTACGAACAAACGATCATGATATAACATAAATTAAAAAAATTCCTAATATAGTAAGAAATTATGTAGCGAATATTCCAGAAATCCCGATAGATATCGAGGCGCCATAAAAGATTAGTAATCGGCGCTAAAGAACAGATGCGGTTGTATGTAATCTTTCTGGAAAATGTGCTGTGTTTTGTTCTAAAATGTTCAAGACGGGATTCGGGGGCACTCAAGTGGGCTAAATCGAATTCCGTTTCAGGAAAGTTCCAATTTCAACATCGAAGTAATAAATAGTTCCCACTGTTATAAACTGTGTTAATGTGAGTGATAAATAGTATTTGGGTGTTAAGGCGCGTACAGACATGCAACAGAACATCGTAACGTAACTCCGCTCTGCAACATTTTTTGTTGCAGGACGAAGTTACGGTGTGATTGGATTGTGAGGTGCAACAGAACACCGCTCTGTAACATTGGCGCGAAACATATTACCGTCCCATCAGTTTCTTAATTTTCTTGTTAGAATGGACGTTGCTGCTGCAGCTTGTATTGTAATGCACTATTTAGTCGTGATTATGACATCTTGCGCAATTTCTACCCATGCGTCGTTTTTTTTAAATTTTATTATAATAAAAGGGGTGTTTAGCATCCCACAAAATCTCTTTTTTTCTGTACACTTCAATAAAGTTTAGCACAGTATTCTCCGTCCACTCCATGTTCAACTGCAGTACACGCCCTAAAGTGAATTGACAATTTAAATAGGAAACGTTCGCAAAGTGGTACAAACATGCATATACCACGTGCAACATGAATGCGTAACATCCCTTTGATGCGACGATGAAATACCGACAACGGATGGGACGCCGAAATGTTACGATGTTACACCGTTACGCTGTTGCAAAGTTGCGTCCAAATTTGTTACGCACCGGTGTTACGTTACGATGTTTTGTTGCATGTCTGTACGCGCCTTTATAAATCAATTCATTTCAACATTGTGATAAATGTATTGTTAATAAATAAATAAATAAATCGTGTAATTAAATTTACGTTACAATATGTTTTAAGTATATTTCTAAAAACCTGCTTGCCAAAGATTATTTCGACTTTTGGGCGGCGGCCGGGGGCGCAAATTTGAGTGCTTCCATACACATAACTTTTGTCTTGAGCCGGCTCTGGTGGTAATTTTTCAGTTTCTTTCTATCTTCTTCTACAGTTTTGGTCCGATTCTTTTCCAACTGGTGTCGTCGAAAACGCGCACAACTTTTGCGTGACGGAATTTGTCCCTAGGGGGCGAAATTAACCACATTTTGCAAGACGCGCGTCTTCAAAGGGTATTCGACTTCAGGCGTCCAAGTTACCTTGCGCTGCAAATTTTGTCATGCGGTTTCTTAAAGCTCGAATCGCGGTCTCTCTCGTGTTGCCAATAGAAGTGCAAGCTATGAGAAGTGTCCTAAAAATTGAGGAACATTTTGTGAAGGGTTTTTAGTAAAATCCACCAAAATGGCGCATTTATATGACTGTGGGGGCGTACGGACAAAGAAATGTGGTAAGTCCGGACAATAGATCAGACTGATAGTGGGGTCCAAACTTCAAACGCGATTTACGAGATGATAATTCAAGTCGTTAAAATTTCTCTGTGTAAAATTTCCTTATCTTAAATTACATTTTGTTTTAAAATTTGAATAAGTGACATAAATAGTGAGGAAATTCCGGTGTGACCTTCCAATATCTTGCTTTGTGTGAATCATGCTTGGCAATCACACGAGTTACCCAGCAGAATATTCGACATCCAGAAAACATCCTACAAACCTACATCAGGTCGGATTTCTAAATTTAGTCATCATCTTGAATTTTGAGCATATGAAAGAAAAATATAGTGTGATAGATTTGGATTTAACAGGGTCTTATTAGCGCAAAACCTAGGGGATACCAAAACTGTGTTGGACATTACTGCAATCAAACATTTTCCGCATTAAAGAAAGAACAAAACGTATTTACAAACTGCCGAGTGTTGTTAAGTCAATTTTACTTTAATGATTAACTATAAAAGTGAAAGACAATACAAAATTGAATATAACACATTTTGTGAATACAGTGAACTAAGAGTAGTTGTCAATTTACAAAATCCACGAAATAATCTTAGTCATCTGTAAGTGGTTAATGTCGCTAACTTATAAATTCTATTCCTTTGGTTTGATTCGAGTAACATAACGTCTACGACAACAATAAAAAAAAACGCGTTAAAATTGATAACGATAATGGGTCTCATTACAAAGCAACAGTCAAATGTTTCAATATGGCAAATACCCATATACAAATACACAATATACTACTTAGGAAAATAAAATTTATCGATTACACTTTCATACCGCATTTAAATGCACATCTGACAGATAAAAAATGATACTCTTGGCGTAAGTAAATGTATAAAAATTAAAAGTACAGTGTTATCGGAATGTAAAACTTAAATGCCAAAAAAATAGCACTATAATACTTATATATCGCACAGTCCATGTAATTCTGCATAGTTCACAATCGCACGATGCAAAAATTCATATTGAGACTGCAACAGAATAGATTAGTAGACGAGTACGATTGCACAAATTTACCTACATAACTGTTAATCAGAGCGTGCCTTTGCAGACGCAACTTTCTGGTAACGGTAAAAATATCCACACGATGCTCAACCCGTAGCTGTTGTACAAGTATGCTTAAGCCTACAAAAAGAGAACTTCTCTCCGCACCTAACCCGCAATGAACAACAACCGACGCACTTGACCCATGCTCATTAAGCGTCCATTGCACATGGTCAACCAACTCTATCAACCCTCGAGTCACTTCCGGCACCTACAGACATTTTTTTGCATACAATTACAACAACCAAAGCCTTACCTCCCCATCTACCGTAGGCCAACCGTGATACTGTAAATGAGTGACATGTAAATCCTCACTGTCGCGATTTTTTACGAACAACTCCCGCCGAGTGTAGTACGGGCAACTCTCTGCCTGCACGTACCTCACCTTAATGTGATCGTAGAAGCTTTCGTCCTCCGGCCAGTAACGAGGACATTTATTGTCTCCTATCTCAGAAAGCATGACGACCACGTTAACGCCCTGCTCCGAGATCATCCTCCAGAAGTCGGTTATTGTCGCCTCGACCGGATCCTGAGTGATAATGAAGGATTCGGAATTATCGTAACCCTCAATAAAGGAGGCGTTGATGTAAGTTGAATGTTCTTTTCCTAACAATGGCGTTAAAATGACTCGGTTTCGATCATATGGGATCACAGAACTACTCCTATTTTTCTCTATATTGTCTTCGCTGCTTCCGACAGAGCAACATTTCGTATCCTCCACGATATCCTTGATATTCTATCATTGTTTCGCCAATTAAAGAATATCGCACGGCCGCTGTATACTTACGTCAAATTCCTCTTGTAGCTTTACAACACCATTCGAATCCTTTTGTCTAAGCTTCTCAACAGTCGCTTTGATGTCCACCCCCTCGATTTCCGTATCACCATATTGAGCTACTTCCATTATCGCACGATAGATAAACACATATTGTTTCTACATAATTAAGAAATAAGTATCATTATTTTGAAAATTCTAAGATAAGACGGTTTTTTATTGTCAAGGTTTCCAGCATGTGCACATAATTTGAAAGCAAATAGTGAACCCACACCCAAACTCAAAATTGGAAAGAAATGATTATCTTGCCGAAATTTGTGAATATCAAACCCAAGGTTAGTGTTCAAAATTTGAGAAAATAATTCCACTGCAATTTTATGAGCCTACGAACAAAAGTGTCACGTTATTGTCTTTACAAAAGTCTATGATCTAATAACATTTTACTGCGGTCAAATTACATTTTCTTATATTTGCACTATCCCTGTCTCTGACATTGTGTGGAAATAAATTGTTTAACATAATTTTATTTGCGATAAGGGTTAGATTGTCAGGCGAAATTTAATTAGCGCACGCGTTCTTTCGCTGATATGAGAATGCAGGAAAATTCATGAAGGAGTTTGTTTTATGGTGGTAGTGGTGTTTCCTTAAATATTGAAGACAACGAGAAGACGGGGATTTTTCATTTCCTTTTGTTTACGCGGTTTGAGAGCGTGTACTTTTCTTTACAGTAAATTTTTGGGCAGTCAGCCTGTGTACGTAAAAGACGTACATCGTCAGTACCTATTGTACTAAACCAGACATGGGCAACCCACGGCCCGCGGGTCTAATCCGGCCCGCCGATAAGTTTTGTCCGGCCCGCTAACATAATTCATAGTTAATACTTCATACGGCCCGTCAAGTTATATTAAAATTTCGAATTAATTAATTATGATTATGTTACACCGCAGCATCTAGTGGACGTAATCGGAAGCTTCCAAGACGTTTGAAAGCCTCTTTGAAGAAGCATTTCATTTTTCACAGATATCGCCAGGTATTTTCCAGAATTTTCGTCGCGATATATACCGGGTGGGGCAATAAAACGACACGTGTTTTGGGATTCAGCAACATTTTTAAACCACATATTGCAACAAATACACCAAAAAATTTCTTTAAACATACTTTTTATTTAGATTTTCAACTTTGGCCCGTGGCGCATATGAAAAATTTTATTTTGGCCCCTTGGAAAAAAAGGTTGCCCATGCCTGTACTAAACTGTGCAAAAGAAGTTAAGCAATCTTAATAAAAGATTTGAGTGATTACATCATCAAGTGAAGTAGTAAGAGTTCGTGGGAAGTTTTTTTAAGTATTTGTCCATTATCGGAAAAAGTTGAGTGAGTCGACCAAAGCAAGTTATTGCATAGTGAAGCCTTTCTTCAAGGTTTTTTAGCGCATTTTCCTCAAAGTGAAAAATCGCTCTTGGCTGCACTTTGACGTCCGTACGTCCGTCCGTCCGTCACACGTACTCCTTCTAAACCACTGAACCGATTTTGGCGATATAGGGCTCATTCGAAAGGGCTTGGTCCAAGGATTCCGCGCATACCCATATTTTTTGGTTTTGCGCATGCGCAGTGTCAAAAATTTGGTTTAACGCATGTGCAATGCTAACTTTTTTATTTCTGAAGTAATTTAAATGAAACTTTATATGTAAACACTACCAATGTAAGTAGAATTAACGACTTTTCAAAATGTTGTTGAAATTTTATACATATGCATTTGACATAAAGACAAATCTAACACCAGTTGCAAAATTTGGTTTTGCGCATGCGCAATGCCAACTTCCTTTTTTACTGATGTATTTAAATGAAATTTAATACATAGGCACTTGGAATACTAGCAAATCTAACACCAGTTTTAAAATTTAATATTTTTCATTAAATCTCATGCCTACCGGTATTTTTCCTGGTCCTAGCATTAATATTATTAGGAGGAAAATATGCTCAAGTCATTTATGTTTGCATAATGACTTTTTAAACTTATTTTTCATTAATAGTTAAACGTGCTCTACCATTCGGAAAGACCAAATTTTGTCATCAAATTCAGCAAGTTAAATTTTGTTGAGTCTTATGAAAAAGAGATGAAGTTTCTGAGGCTTGTAACGTTTGTGTGTAAGTTTTAGTGCGCCTGAATATCGCAAATTCGTTACGACCAGATTATTGAATAAATTAAATAAATATAGCAAACGAGCTCCTGGGTCTATAGCATGTGCAAGTTGGCACTGCGCATGCGCAAAACCAAATTTTGAAACTGGCGTTAAATTTGGTTGTATTCCAAGTGGCTATGTATCAAATTTCATTTAAATACCTTCATAAATAAGAAAGTTTGCAATTTGGTGAATGCTGATCGATTAGGCTCAACTTTTGGAATTGTGTTTTATATGGCTAAAGCTATGCGCATATTGAATTTCATGCAATTCGGTTCATAACTAACGGAGATGTCAAAAGAGCCTACTTTATTTTTTTGCCTATATTGCCAATTCACGAACTGCGACCTACAAATTTGATAAAGAATCCACCTGCAAAATTTCATCGTAATCGGTCCATTCGTGTATGAGTTATCGTGCTAACGGACGGACGGACGGACAGACACCGCAAAATACCCAAGTAATTACGATTTTTCTTTATTTAATTGTCTGTTGAACACCTGTGTGCGGGGTAAAAACAGAAAACGTAATCTAACGCAAAATTACAGCATAACTTTTATTTCTTATGTTTTTTAAATAATTTTATATTTTCTCAATTCACGCAAAATTGGGGCTAATTTGGATTTGAATCTATAGGATTAAATCAGTTTTTAACATTTTTCAAATGTCGGGGAAAGGCGTAATTAATTAAAAACAGTTTTAACTTGTTTGTACGTATCGAAGGTATAAGCGTACCAAATGGACGTTTAGATAAATAGAAAACGCACTATCAAATATGATCTTTTGCCTTTGGTACGTTTCGCCCGTTACATTTCTTTTGTATCCGTACCGTTTCATTTTGCTTTACAATTGGGTTACTGCGCCGTATTCATTGTAATTGGCTTTTAGCAAATTTGTTTCTATCGCTCGGTTAATTACAAGGTAAGCTTTTTGTTACTTTCCTGTAGATACTGGATCCGCTTATTTATTATTTTGCCTTTATTTTTGAGTGGCCGGAGTTTTTTTTACTGTTCCCGCTTAGGGATATTGCTGTGCGCTTTAATTTTAAATCGTGAATTTCGAAATAAATTCTTTTGTTTTGTCAATCAATTAATTGTGTGTTTATTTGAATCCACTGTACGATCCAGATACAGTTCTCGTGTTCAGATTATATCTATCTGTGGCCAAGCTCATCTCAGGTAATTTATTGAGTCATTATTAGGATTTTATTTTGTAGCAAGAGATGTAAGAAGAGAGATCATAAAAATTCTAAGTTTCATCTTTGATTTAATTGAGCTAGCCAATCAAGTGTTTTGTGGGTGACCGCACACCATTGCACACAGCAATAGTGTTTTAAATACATATACCTAATTTAGTATTTTTCATTTTTAGATGCCATGTTGCAATGTTCGCCGCAAAATAAATCCACCTATATAAAAACTTTTGTTCTTTCGTACTGGAACAAACTGTATGTGCAGATCTGGTTGGAGTTCCGTTGTGATTGGCGAATTATTTGAAAATTCATAAAGAAGGGAGCTTGTTTTATAGTGGAAGTGGTGTTTCGTTAAATACTGGAGACATAAGAAAATGCTGCTGCTGTTAGTTTTCGCGACGGTTGAAAACCGTGTACATCTGTTTACATTAAATTATGGGCATTTGCAAGCAGTTAAATTTGCCATCTTATTCATCACGGTAGTTTTGTTATTGTCATTTCCGTGTTACCAAGAACAAGTGAAGTTTTCAGAAGCTGTCAGCGTTTGTGAGTAAAGCGCCTGAATATCGCAAACCTTGTACGACCAGATTATTTGGATTAATTTAAATAATTAAGTAATTTAAGATTTATCATTTTAATTGTTGACCGCCTGCGTAGGGGGTATTACGTCCAAACAAGCTTTGTAAGCTTTTCTTTTACTTTTTTTTCGATTAATTTGTTTTGTCACTGTCAATCAATTGTGCTTATTCGAACCCATTGTGCAACTCGCACCCGAATAGAACAGTTTTTATAAATGCACATTGGCTGAAACCTAAATTTCTGCTCAATTTGTCTGTTTGTTAGTTCTAAACAATAAACAAGATATATGACTAACTGAAAAGCATGTTAAATGCTGATTATGATACTTACCAGTGATTGTACCAAAAAGTTTCTCTGATGTCTCAATTCGCAAACGGTGTTAAAAATCGTAACATGTCCTTCTTCCGCCATCTGCTGAATTAAGCAATCAAGCGCGACTAAGGTACCAGTACGCCCAACTCCCGCACTACAGTGAACTAAAATACTACCTTTATCTGAAGTATACGCCTCATTCATTCTTTTTATAAATTTGATTAAACCGTAAGGATACTCGGGCGCCATGAAATCTTTCCAAACTAAATAGTGATATTGGGAAATGATGCGCTCTTCTTCGCGTCCTCCCGACTCCTTACTTAGCCTCAGTTCTCTAACTATAAAATCTGAGTATCTAGTTTCCTGTATATGAGATACGGTAATATTTCCAAATGTTTTACTACTTTCGTCTTTGTCTGGCCAATATTTCGCGCACTTAGTTTTACTATATTCTTCTAAATTTGTTAACATTAAAATTAATTCTAAATGCTGCTCCCAAATCAATCGCCAGAAATCGTTCACTGTAGTATCCATTGGTCCTTGTGCGCATATAAATTTTTTGCGTTCTTTATAACCTAGCACATAATTAGCATTGATATAATCAGAACCTAAAACACCATCAACCTGTGATAGTTTGACTCTGGTTTGGTCATATGCTTTTATATCTGGATATCGATTTTTGTATACATTTTCTCTTGCATCTGATGCCCTCGTTGTGCGATCAATAAATCTATCGGGAAGAAGCTCAAATTCCTGTTGAAAGCCATAGTCTGAGTCCCTATGCCTCTCCACGTATGCGGCTGTCAATTCCGATCTCAAGATGGGGCACATGTCCGGCGGATTCAGCGACACCAAGCGTTGTCTCCCTCGTAGGCTCCTACACAAATGTCTATTCCCAATTAACAACCAAAGTGTGTATCCTCATCATAATTAATAAAATTACCTAAACAACTGAATGTTAACAAACGTGAGACGATTCCAATTATACGTACCTATGCAAGATGAAGATCGCAATGAGCAGAAGAACAACCACTCCACAAAATCCCGCGATCAGCTGAACCACCAAACCCATCGTTCCCGTGCTAGCGGCTGCTTCGACGGATTCTGGTCCAGGACTCATCATCACCAAGTAGTTGCTGTAAGCCGTGATACCCTGATCCGGATCTGACCCTTGAACTTGAACACAAAATAACTTCGTCTGCATCACAATGTCAAAAATACATACTGACAATTTCGATGAAACCGGTATAATTACTACCCATATCTAAATTTCCATCGTAGGGCGGCAAAGGACTGATTAAATCTTCATGCTTGTTATCAGTCGAGCGCTGTCTTCTTGGAAGGGAATATGGACGTAGACCTACACATTCGTCGCACAACGAGCTGCTTACGTTATACACCTGATCATCTCCGAGAAACACTTCCGGGTGAAATGATGTGCTAATAACACCTTATTTAAAATATAATAAAGTTCACGCTACAAGTTCTACCTGGTAAACATTTCTGCAACGTAAACGCCGCCCTTCGGGGTTCGATGGGCCTCCTGGTACGAAACAATGGGCAAGTTTTCCGGCGCGGGCAGCTCCGCAATTTTTTGTTGCGTTTCCATACGTACCATATAGATTCTGTAGCAACAAATGGGCCCGTTACGTTCCGAAATTCTGTGCATTAGCAATTTGAACATCCACTTTCCTTCCTCCACCACTTTGTGCCAGGAGAAACGAGACAGCTTGTGCTTATCAGGCACGGTCGGCGGCATACGACAATATAGCTCCTTAAATTCGCCATTTTTCTTCGTGCGTGTCACTGCCGAAATTCGTACCGTGTAATTGGTGTTCGATGAGACGTTGTAAAATCGGGTAAAGTGTATATTTTCGTTAACGCTCGTCACTTTCGGCCCCCAAGTTGTGTACTCCATAATGCCCTGATCATTTAAGAATGAAGCGTTACCTTCCAAATTGACCTGGAAGAATACAAACCCTTTACTGGGTTATTATAATAATTACAAGAGGAGACAAAGCAAAATTCGACGTTTTTCCTTCGCCAAATTGGATTTTTAAGAAATTTTTACGCGAGTCCCGAATTTCGGCGGCGCGACTTTTCCGATGCGCAGCTACCCCCAGAAAATAGGGGGGAAGAGGTTCGAGGCTTTCGTACGACTCGGTCGCGGAAGTTGCCCCCACCCCCCGCGGGGGAGGACCCGTACGTGAAAACGCGGGGAAGCACCCGTACGTGAAAACGCGGGTGGAAAAAGGACGGAATTGCTCGAAAAGTAGTTCTGCTTCCCCCCTCGGAACGCGTTTAATCTAAAGCCCGGACGGTCCTGCGCGTATCGTATGGGGTCGTACCCCGGCGTAACTTTCGTTTGGGGGCAAGGGGGGTGCAAAGTTTGCCTTTATCGACGTCACTCCCCTTTATCGCTCGCGGCGCCAAAACGAGACGACCTAGGAAACACTTACGATCGGTCAAATGCGGCCCCAAACGTCCCCCAAATATCAGCCATAATAGTCAAATATCAATTTTTTTCGATCTGGCTCGCGATCCCCCACACAACACAAAAACTTCTCCCGCAGGTAGGAGGGCACGCTGAACCTAACCCATCGTAACCGCGCCGCAGAAACCTTTCCGGCGATACCCCTCACGCCTTCCTACGACTTTCCGTTAGCGAGATTCGCATTTTGGCGACGCCTAGCGACGTCACCCGGCGTCGCCGTCGCGGACCGTTCAAATCGTAATCATGTATAACAAACGGGTTGCGCAACGTCGAAAAAATGTGGTCACAAACAGGTCAGGTCAGTATCAGTATTTTCGATTTTTGATAACACTTAAATGGCGATATCTCGAGAACGGAACGTCGTAGGTATGGGTTCATGGGTGTCTTTAAAAAGGTCTCGATCTAACCTAACCGTTGGGGGGGTCGGAATTTCGAAACGGAGGTAAAAGCTAACATCGGATGCTCCGGGTCCCCAAACTTCCAAATACCAAATTTGGACGAGATCGGACGGTAAACAACGGAGATATAGCGACTTATAATTTGACACCACCGAAAATTATTATCGGTGTTTCTTGTGAGAACTCAGGTCTAGCCTGGTTAACTAATCGCACGGATTAAAATCA